AGAGAGGGAGAAAGAAAGGAAGAAACAGCGATATGAGAAAAACATCAATTGGTTGCCTTTGTATGTACCCCAATGGGGGATTGAACCTGCAACCTAGGTATGTGCCCCGATCAGGAATCAAACCCGTACCTTTTCAGTATACGGGACAAAGGTCCAACCACCTGAGCCACTCAGCCTAGGGCTTATCTACTCCTATACATGCTCCAGTCAAACCAAGCTACTTGCTTGCTTGTGATATCCTATCTCCCTGTCCCTACCTTGTTTTTCATCCTCTAAAGCCCATTTGCGATATTGTTTTACTAATCTCACATACTGAAGGAAACCTCTTTCCTGAATCCTCATAATTTTTTTCTCCCTACCCCTCTGGTATCTAAATGGATACAAGATAAAAGTTTAATTATGTTAGATTATAAGCTCCTTAAGGAAAAATTATGACTTCCCTGGCATACACAAAGCACAGTACCCATGTATATCATTGAGATTAACATTACTAGTTGTTTAAATTTATCATAAAGACAAAGCAGAATGTGCCCTGACTGGTGTGGCTCAGTTGGTTGAGTGTTGTCCCATGCACCGTGCGTGCGTTATTTCTTTCTCTCCCTCACCCTCTCTCTCGACAAAAAAATCAATAAAAACATATATTTTTTAAAAACTGCCTTACTCTAGGTCACTGCCTTAAACAAGTGTCTGTCTTTCAAAATTAATAATAATTTTTAAAAGACAAAGCAGCTGTAATAAAATTACTCCATTCTGTGGTGAAGTGCTGACACTTATCAGGATGGCGGTGGTCAGAACACAGTCAAAGAGGGGGAGCCAAGAAACAAGAATTTGCCGTAACTGGTAGCCCCACTTGTTCTGGTCATAAGAGAAAGGGGAAACAAGCTGTTCATGTTCCTTGAGACCATCCAGTTACCCTTGCTCTTACCACACAGTGCTCACCAGGTCCTTTTGTAATTAGCTTGGTTCCCTGTTCCTTGATGCTGGGAAAGGGGTTCCTTGGATAGTGGGCATAAATATTCAGTCAGTGGTAGGTATTACCAGAAGTCACCTGTAAGTTCTTTTGTCTTGTAGAATTGATAATTAGCCTACCAAAATTTCTTCTTTGAACTTGAAAGAGACAAAAATATCCCTGGTTGCTGTGGCTCAGTTGGTTGGGTGGTGCCAGGCACCATCCCAGGCACTGAAGAGTTGCTGGTTCGATTCTCCAGGGCACATGTCCTGGTTTTGGGCCCAACCCTCTGTCTGGGGCATGCAGGAGGCTGATGGTGTGTCAGTGTTTCTCTTTCGCCTTCTCCCTCTCTCAAAATTAATTTTAAAACCTTTAAAATAAAAGAGACAAAGGTATCTACTTAACATTAATAGTATGTAAAGCCACTTTTTTTATGTGCAAAGGTTTGAACATAGTGTGTAGAATGCTAAGGCACTATCTTCATACCATAGTTCAGATCCTTCTCTCAGAAGCCTTTGATTAAATGCTCATAGTATAGAATACCTCTTAGCACTTATCAAAATTGTGACTTTATATTTACTTGGATAATTATTTGATTGTTTCTCTTTTAGAGGTAAGCATCATTAAAGCCTGCTACAATGCCTTTTCTCACCATTTTATCTTGTGCTTAGTATAATGCCTGGTCCACAGTAGGTGCTTGACGGATTTTTTTTTCTGTGAATGTGTATATCTAACAGCTCTACATTCCACCCCATTCTGTATTCTTGGTAAGCTCCTAATAATTATCCTCCAAGGACCCAGATGTTGTTCTCTTCAGTTATATTCCCAAGGAACTTTTTATGCACTTCTTTTGTGGAACCAGTCACTTTGTGTTGTAGTTATCTGACTGTGAGTCTCTTCTTTAAAGTAAGGGACCATGTCTTCTTCAAGTGCTCCAAAAATATTTATTGAATTTAACAAAAATATGTTTGCACTTTTTAAAAATACATAACATAATGACTGAACCCTAACAATGGAAAGAACCTTAGGTTGATAATCAGGAAGTCTGTTAGTTATCTAAGCTTTATTTTATTCACCTGCAAGTTCTTTCTTAGCATAATAGTTTAAAACCATTGTTTTCAAAGGGTGTCCCTGACCATATCTGAGAACTTGTGAAAAATGAAGATTGTTGGGTTTTTCTCCAAACTTACTGAATCAGAAACTCTGGGAGTGGGACCCAGCAATCTGTGTCTCAACAACCCCATTAGGTAATTTTTTTTCTATTTTTTCCATTGATTTTTAGGGAGAATGAAGTGGAAAGAGAAACACTGATGTGAGAGAGACACATCGATTGGTTGCCCCCCACATGGCACAGACCAGGGCCGGGACCCTGCAAACCTAGGTGTGTGCCCTTGACCAGAATTGAATCCTGGACCCTTCAGTTGCAGGCAGATGCTCTATCCACTGGCCCAAACCAACTAGGGCACTATTTTTTTAAATACATTTTTATTGATTTCAGAGAGGAAAGGGGAGAGAGAGATAGAAACATAAATGAGAATCATTGACCGGCTGCTTTCTGCATGGCTCACACTGGGGATTGAGCCTGCAACCCAGGCATGTGCCCTGACCGGGAATTGAACCATGACCTCCTAGTTCATAGGTCTATGCTCAACCACTGAGCAACAATGGCCAGGCAGGTAATTCTGATAGATGGTCAAGTTTGAGAACTATTGAAATTAGTTTAGTAGTTTGTCTGTTTTTCTGTGTGTTAAAAAAATTAGAGTTAACTACTTTATACTTCATAGCTTAAGGTTATTTTTAAAATTTTTCTTTATGTGTGTTTCTTACCAGTTGAATTTGTGGACATTTTTTCCGAACTATTAATGATAGTTATATAGGCAAAATAGGCCTTTTTTGCTTGCCCAAGTCAAAGCTAATAATATAATACAGTGGAACTTCATTTCTCAAATTTGATTCATTCTGAAGGCTGTTCAAAAAAAGAGTCATTTTTCCCCCAATCCTATCCTGTATAATAAAAGCCTAATATGCAAATTGACTGAATGGCAGAATGACTGGTCTCTGTGACTCACACTGACCACCAGGGGGCAGACACTCAATGCAGGAACTGCCCCTAGGCCAGCCAAGGTGGGTGCGAGCTGGGGGCCCTCCCCACCCCCCCAACCCCCAGTCGCCCTACTAGTCACCCTGCAGAGGGAGGTGGGGGTGGGGCCAGCAAATGGGCAGTGCCAGGCCGGCAAAGGCGGGTACCAGCGGGGACTCCCTGAATTGCCCCGCCAGTCGCCCTGCCGAGGACGGGGGGCAGGGCCAGTGAGCGGGCGGCGCCAGACTGGCCAAAGTGGGTGTGAGTGGGGGGCCCTAATCACCCTGCTGGTTGTTCCACAGATCAGCCCTGATTGCCGGCCAGACCTAGGGACCCTACCTGTGCACAACTTTTGTGCACTGGGCCTCTAGTTAGAAATAATGTAGCCCTGGCTACATTATTTTGATCAGTGTATAGATTGTTGGCCTGTGGACTGAAGGGTCCCAGGTCTGATTCTGGTCAAGGGCATAATGCCTCGGTTGCAGGCTCCTCCCCTGCCTAGGCCCTGCTCAGGGGCATGCAGAAGGCAACCAATCAATGTGTTTCTCTCTCTCCCACTCTCAAAAAAATCAATAGGAAAATATCCTTGGGTGAGGAATAAAAAAAAAGAAAAAGAAATAATGTAAATTGACTTAATCTGTTCCAGACCCCCAAATGAGTCCTTGTTTTAACCTTTTTATGTACAATACATGTCTGTTGTACTGTTTAATCTCTAAATGAACCCCTTAGAAACAAAAAGAGCATGAAATGTAAATGAAAATTTAACAAAAGGGAAAGGAAATGTATAGTAAAAATAAATTTTACAATAATTATAAGCAGCAATAAAAACACACAAAAATATTCATACCACAATATCCTGAGATTTTGACAGTGGTAAACTGACTCACATTCGCACATTCTCTCCTTTGTCACCTGCAAAATGAATGTCTCATCATACAGGTGTCAGCATGAAGGGGTTGACAGGTTGAGAAACTTATTGTTTGAGATGGGAGAGGTTCGAGAAACGAGGTTCCACTATACTTACCCACTTAGCTTTTTAAGCTCTTTCTCAGTTTATACCTCTCTGTTTGTAATTTTTACTCCATGTTATCTTCTGTATCTTTATGAAAATACTAGAGGCCCCGGTGCATGAATTCATGTGTGGGTGGGGTCTGGCCCACCCCAAACAGGCTGATGGGACCAGGCCAGCAGGGGGGAAGGGCTGCAGACGGTTGGGGTTGGGGGTCGATCAGAGGTGGGGGCAGTCTGGGGGAGGGGCTGCGGTCACTTGGCTGGCCAGCCCCACCCCCTGGTCGAACTCCCAGGAGAGGGGGACAATTTGCATATTAGCCTTTTATTATATAGAACTAGGAACTGTTCCAAACATTGTGTTGTGGGTACAAACATCTTTAGACATCCATTTGTGTCTGTCCCTTATTTCTTTATATTTATTCTTTAATTCTTCCAGATTCTATTAATTTAAAAATTTTGTAGAGAAGCCTTGTTAAAGGTGTTTATAATTCTAAATACGTTTCTTGAATTTTTCCCTTTATTGCATCCATGTGGCTGTTGTAATCACACATTTGGGAAAGCCCCTGCTGGTACTTGTGCCATCCTGTGTCAAGTTGGAACTTGGAGGGACTCTGAGTTACCAGCCATAAGCCAAGGAGCCCCACTGTGTAAAAGTAGAATAGGAATTTCTAGCATCATGGTCAAGTGTCAAGTAGTGGTGGTGGTTTTAGACCTGGGAAGGCATCACATCTCTAGCCCTCTCAGCCTTTTCTGTGTTCGAACAACTTTCTCTCATTTTTCATAGATTCAGAGTTTTCTGACCAACTAACTACACCTCCTTAATTTGATGAGAGACGTAGTTTTAAGACACATCTGAAAACAGAAAAATGTTGGCTCCAATTTCACAATCTTGTTCTGTAATAATCATTGAATGACTTATGTATGCCTACCCATATTAATCAAATTCATTGGCTTCTACTAAAGCTTGAATGGGAATAGAATAGCAAGCTGACACATGTCCATTTGAATCAAAATCTGTTCACTTCACAGGCATTTGATAGGTTCATTGGCACAGGAATTTAAACTGCACTGGCTTAGGTGTGAAATAATCTCTTCCATTTCTGAAAAGGAGATATTTCTTTGGGCATAATGTTTTGTTAAATGCTATTAAATTCTAAAAGTAGTTTACTGGCTAGTTGAACTATGGAATTAATTTGATACTAACAAGACTCATATTGAAACTGTAATTAAATACAGAAGCAATGCAAAGGACTTGAGTTCCTTTAAGTGTTGTTTTTGTGTTTTTTGGTTTTTTGGGCTGGTGTCGCTTCCACTGGGATGTCTTTATCCTTTTTATCATAATCACTTTCTCATTTATGTTGATAAGCTTGTCTGCAGTTAGTTCCTCTGATATATATAACTCCATTCATTTTCTATTCACATTTCATTTTCAGCATTTTCACTTTTTTTTTTAAACAGGCGTGTTTTTTTTTTTTATTAAATATATTTTTATTGATTTCAGAGAGGGAGGGGGAGAGAGAGAGAAACATCAATGATGAGAGAGAATCACTGATCAGCTGCCTCCTGCATGCCCCGCACTGGGCATCAAGCCTGCAACCCAGGCATATGCCCTTGACTGGAATCAAACCTGAGACCCTTCAGTCCGCAGGCTGATGCTCTCCACTGAGCCAAGCCAACTAGGGCTCACTTTTTATTTCTTTGCTTCATTTTTATCTTTGTAGGTCATTTCCCTCTTTTGATTATCCTTTTTTTTTAATATAAAATATCATGTAGTTTATCACTGTGAGACTAGGAGGCAATATTCTACGTCTTATTGTTTGTAAGTGAACTCATCACCAACAGACTTTGAAAGAAGTGGTATGATTGGTCACTGATCATGATGCACACCTCTTATTTATAGAATGTTTTGTGGACTGAGAAACAAACAATAAAGTTTGTACTTTATTCAACTACTCACAGTTCATATACAATGGTAAATGAAATTTGAAATGTATTGTTAGGAGATTGATGTTATTTAACTCAACTGTGTTAACTGAAATGTATATTGGGACCATGCAAAGCAAGTACTACCAGTATAAAGAGTGTAAGAATGAGCACAAATGCTTTCATTTTTTTTTTCATTTTAAGTTTTTAATGGAAGTTGTATATAATATTACTTTATTCCTGCATCTTCTCAATTGTTTCTTCCTTGTATTTTCCTTTTCCTTTCCTACTTGGCGAGATTTGGCTTTATGTTCAAGAATCTTTTTGTGGTCTTTGTCCAGGTTTACTCTAGTGATAACCCCTTGCTGGGGTGAATGCCCACATGAACAGTTGTCCCATTAGCTTTCTCCCGTTGCACTCGTTCAGTGTAGATGACGTATTTCTTCCTGTAAACCTGGACTACTTTGCCAATTTGCTGCCCTTTGTAATGTCCTTGAACAACCTGAACCTCGTCATACTTTCGGGTGGGCATGGACCGAACATTGTACTTCTGTCTCAGCTCTTTGGAAAGAGGAGACAACGTGATCTTCCTTCGAATGTGGGAAAGTGCATTGAAATGCCTTTTACGGTTCTTGCTCCGGTCAGATGTCACAAAGGGGTTGAACTTCATTTTGACCGCTGGCACTCCTACGATGGCCGCAGAGGGAAGAGCAATGCTTTGATTTTATAATGTTAGAAGATTAATTCCTTGTAGGAAGATTAATGTCATTGTAGTTTACTGATCTGTAGCTCTGGTTCATATGTAGGATCAGATGAAGACATACTGTCTATAGTAATAAAAGCGTAACATGCTAATTAGACCGGACAACCTTCTGGATGAAGCCGGGCTGCAGCCACGGGATTGAGGCAGCCACCGTGGCTGAGAGGGATCGCAACTGCAAAGGCCTGCTCTTGCATGAATTTTGTGCATCGGGCCCCAGTGTATGTATATAAAGGACCTTTGTTAGCCATGACACATTATAGAGAACAATTATGTAGTATGATAGGGCAAGCAACATGACCAGCTCTAATATGCCAGGCAGTATTTTATTTTACTTTTTAATTATGTTTTTAATGATTTTGTCTTATTTGTAGTTTTATTGATTTTAGAGAGCGGAAGGGACAGAGAGAAAGAAACATCAGTAAGAGCCTGGCTGGTGTGACTCAGTGGTTGAGCATCGTCCTATGAACCAA